ATTATTTTTTTAATTTTTAAATCTACTTTTTCATTATAGATATTAACTGGAAGAAGACATTGAACTTCATATGGATGAATATTATCACCAAGTGTTCGAATAGAAAATCTGCACATAGTTATACGTGGAAAACGTTCAAGAGATTCTATATCTTGTCCATAAAACCATTTTTGAAGAATTTCCAAACCATACAAATGAAATTTACTACCCATAAAAATATTCAAGAGAAAAAGTTGACCAATAGCATTAGTAATATAAAGTAATTTAACTAAAATATAACCAAAAGCTAAATAATTTCCGGAACGTTGACCCACAGTACAACATATTAAACATGAAAAACGTTTCCAAGTACTATATCTATTAATAATAAGAGAGAATTTATTTTCTAAATTATATTAATTCTTACATAAATCCATGATGATAATCTCGTTGATATGTTAATGCTTTATCAATATGTTTTGCTAATGATATCATAGGATCTTTTCTATTTTCACTATTTAATTGATCCATTCCACTCATAATATTTGTAATAGCTTTTGCATCAATTCCACAATTTCTATTTAATTTTCTCCAAATGAAACCAGGTATATAGAAAAGCATCATCATTATAAAAAGAATAAATGGTACCCATTGATAATACGGTCTAAAATAATTTATATATAAAAATACGAAATTCTGTTTTTATTCTTATACAAACATTCTTTCAGGTCGTGCTTGATTTCGATTTGGTAATGGTTTATCAAATGGTAAATAATACGAAGAACTTATCCAACAAACCCAATTAACATAGCTAAGATGATCACCAGCGATATTATGTGTATAACAATTTATTGGATTACCCACAAAATTTGTTGATGTAACAATAGTAAAACATATTCCAATAATAATCATCGAATATCTTCGACTAAGTCGATCATAAAAATCATCATTTTTAATACGTGGTAAACCAAGTTTACTAAATGCGTCAATAACAGGATAAAGCATATCTTATAAGTCTATTAAATGACTATTTGTCGTAACGAAAGACGAAATACTATAGTGTTCAGTTAACGTTATTATTTTTCTTTTTCTTTCTCTTTCGATATAATAAAGCATGTATATATGTATGTTTACCTCCCATAAGATGATTTAATAGAGAATAAAAACAACTTTATTTGTTTCAGAAAATTTTCTTCATAAATTTCATTTAATATAAGTTTCACAGAAGTTTTATTATTACCACTACATAGACAGGAAAAAAACAGGAAAAAAAAGCAGAAAGAAAACATAGAATGATAGTAATCCAAATAGGTAAATATCAAGTTCTCATCAATTAAATGTATACAAGAACAAAAAAAAGGAGAAAAAGATACAATAATGCAAAAAAAAAAGAAGAAAGAAAAGAAAGAACCAAAACAACATTATCATCCTCTGTTTTTGAAGGGCTCATCTAGTCTTTTGATTTAATATATAGATATATTAAATAATCATGATAATATGCCTGACATTGGTGGTAATAATTTTTCATTTCCTTCGCCAGCACCATTTTGTTTCAATGGACTTTTAACACCTAAACCAATTATTTGTCCACCATTATCAGATTCTGGTGATGCATTAAAACGAATTTGTGGCATAACTTTCCAATTGTCCCATAATGCACAAACAACTTCACCAGCAATAACATTATTTGTATTTTTTTTAACAATACGTAATAGAAGAAGACCATCTTGACGACAATAACTATTAACAAATTCTTCAAGACGTTTTATAGGTGCTTGATCATGATCAGTACTTGAACCAATACCAGTTGTTGATGATGATGCTGATGATGTATAATAACGAATATCATTTGCTTTTAAAAATCTACGAACAAAATTTGTTCGAGCATTTGCTGTGAAATAATATAGCCATTTAATAAGGCCATAAATCGAAGCTGCAGCAACAAAAGCAAGCCAGAACCATATCAATAAAAAGATCTAAATATAAAAAATTTATTTTAATTAGAAATTAACATTTTGTTTTTTCAATTCTACTTTTTCATTATAGATGTTAATTGGTAGAAGACATTGAACATCATATGGTTGAATATTATCACCGAGTGTTCGAATAATAAATTTACACATAGTTATACGTGGAAAACGTTCAACAGCTTCCATATCTTGTCCATTCATCCAACGTTGAATTGTTTCAAGACCAATTAAACTAAATCCACGTCCCATAAAAATATTCAAGAGAAAAAGTTGACCAATTGCATTGGCAATATAAAGTAATTTAACTAAAACATATGTTAAAGCTAAATAATTGCCTGATTGACGACCGATAGTACAACAAAGGATTGATCCAACACGTCGACGAACATTATACCTAATAAATTGAAAAAAATAAAATAAGATAATTTTTATAATTCAACAAAATAAAATGATTACATACATGAAACCATGATCATATTCACGATGATAAGCTAAAGCTTTATCAATATGTTTAGCTAAAGATCGGACAGCTTTTTCTCTTTTTTCTCCATCCATTTGATCCATATCAGCAACCATTTTTGTAATAACTTTTGTATTTATTCCACATGCTTTAGTAAGATTACGCCATACGAAACCCGGTAAATAAAAGAGAAACATCATACAAAGTAAAATAAATGGTACCCATTGATAATAAGGACTAAACGTAAAATAAAAAAAAAACGAAAATAGAATTATTCTTATTATCTAAACATACATTTTCTCTGGTGGTTGTTCATAACGTGTTGGTAAAGGTTTTTCAAATGGCATGTAATATGAAGAACTTATCCAACATACCCAATTAACATAACTAATATGACTTCCAGCAATATTTTGTGTATAACAATTTATTGGATGACCAACAAATTGTGATGAACTAACAATTAGAAATGATACACCAAGTAGTATCATGGAATATTTACGACTTAATCGGTCATAAAAATCATCATTTTTAATACCCGGTGAGCCGAGTTTACGAAATGCATCTGTGACTAAATAGAGTGACATCTAAAGAAAGAAAACTGATATTATCAATAAGATATACGAAAAAAAAAACGACGAATATCCAACAAGAAATATGCCCTTATTATGTTAAATCAATAATAATATTCAGAAAAAGAGGAAATAGATGGTGAATGGGACAGGTCAGCAAGGATTTTTTTTTATTTTTTTTCCTCCTTCGTTCTTTCTCTTTATATGAAAAGAAGATAGACGGCGCCGTGTCTGCCATGTGAACGTCTCTTCTCTATAGGGCAAAACATCGCTGTTGTATTGTATGTGTACATATACATGCAGTAACCAATCTTCTTCGACATGTACAGATGAAGAAGAAGACGAAGAATAATGATCAAGTGACCGGTGGGTCGTTCTCGTCGTTCTGTCGTTGTCATTCAAATCTATATAGAAAAGGGAGGTGCTCTCTGAGGGAGAGTGATGAATGTTTCGACTTTCTTTCTCTCTCTCCTTCTCCTTCTTCCTTTTCTCACTACGCTGTAGTAATACATTCATACGGCCAGTTCGACGGCCAATACTGATTCATTATGTATATGCTGATAGCGCGCGTACCCCAAGTGGCATTCTTTTTTTCTTTCTGTCTCTTCACATCTATATATATGTATATAGTTACTTATTACGTACGGACAAGATGAGAACACGAAACAATATATAAATGTACGCTGTTTTCGAACATTAATGTGAAATATCACGCGTACATTTTATATGAAAAGACATTACTATAAATCGTCTTTAGTAAATGAAATGATTGTCGTATATATAGAACAATAATCGATAGGATTGATTTTACAGGGATTCGTTTACGAAAAATATTGAACCATATCAATGAGTCAAGGTTGTAGAGATATAAAATCTAGATAGAATATAATCAGTATTTAATTTTCTATTGATTAGATAAAAAGGAAACGACTACATATAAATATTTTTACATGATAGATGATCTGTACATACAACTAATGAAAAAAATGTGACATTTATATTAATAGCCATTAAAAAATGGCATTGTAATATAAGTAGTTAATTTCATAGGCATTAATCGAAGAATATATTAAAAAAAAATGAATGACTTTATCTTTACTTAATTTTAACAGTAGTGATGCAAGAGAGATTTGAATTCTGATACTAATCGTCTATTGCTCTTTATAGAATGTTTATAGGTTATGAATAGTTAACTTAGTGTCAAGTAGAATGAAGTGACTATTGAGTATTAAGTTTTCGATAGAAAGCAAAAGTTGAAGTTAATGATTCTTACCGTTTCGCGATTCAACAATGTATGATGATGATGATGTTGTTACTGTTCTTACTGTTGATATGGCTTAAAATGAAACGATAGATATAGAGCCCATAATATACAGATTCGACAATGGCATTTTCACGGAGGCTGATGTGCGTAGGTGTAGAAAGTGGATAAGTACGTGTCTGACCGTGAATCGTGAAGAACGAAGTAACAAAAAGTAATTTATAACAAGAATCTGTGATATGTATATCTTATTCGACAAGCATATCGATATCTGTTAACTAGAAAGAAAATTTTTTTGATATCAGTGCACATAGCAACAACAACATTGTTTTCTGTTTTCAATATGAAAAAATATGTAACAAAATGTTTAATCTTAAAAACCAGATAAAACGTACCGATCATATTAAAAATATTTTATAAATCTGGTTTTTTTATTAAAACAGAAATATTTCCACTATTAATAAGATTTACACAATCAATCACTTAAATAACCTATTGACTCTATCATAAAATGTACAAATTATTTTCTTTTTGTAGTTAGAGTGCTTCATTTTTACAATAGGTATACTTGCAGAGGATGTAGAAGCTGTAAGAATGAAAAGAATAAAGAATGTGCAAAATATTTAACGTAATGTAAACAATAGATTAACTACTCTTGAATATATTTGTTTTTCTACAAGATTAAAATGATAGATTTTCAATGATCTTAATCTATAAATTTTAAATAATATATTTTCCTTTTTTCTTTAGTATTAAGATTTTATTGACTCATGAGTGCAGTTTATTTTTTGATCTCTTTCAAAAGGTTTCTTTTATGTCTCAAATTTTTATTTTTTGTACAGAATGATTTAAGTCTGTATATTGATTTATTATTTCAGAATATATATATCAGCATTGGATTTGCTTCTGTTTGCATTAAATATCATTAAGAAAATTAAAAAAATTCTATGTTACATTCGTTATTTCTTTATATATATATATATGTACATATAACTATTATGTCATTGCTATGAGTAAAGGGAAACATCCATGTATACATTCTTAATAGGGGAGACTTCTCACAACTTTTTGAAAAATCAAAAAATATTTTCCACGAGTTTTCAAGAACTGGAGGGAGACCTCCTCACCTTCTCGATCGCATCGATCCCGTCTTGTCTTTCGTCTAGAACTAAGGATATACTATAGAAAGTTTTGTGACGCTAGTTCTTACGTGGACCACATGCGTAACGAACAAACAAACTTTCTTCTTTATATATACAGATAGATAAAGTAATTAATTACGACTATTTTGTTATTGTTAATATTGAATTTTATTAGTTGTATTCATTTCTTTTTCTCCATTTAATTATTTATCTGACTGTTACTTGAATTTTAATTCTATATTGTGTATTTAAATAAAAAAAGAAATGCATATTTTTATTATAATTTTTTATTGAACATAAAAAACTATAAAAACATGTTCGAAATTAAATTATTGCATTTGAATTAATCTTTAAGAGTGATTTGAAGTCGAAGACAACCAAGATGAGTACCGCTAGAACCAAGATCACCAGTTAATCGATAATCACCTGCTCCAACAGATGGTAAATGTCCTCCAATCTTAATAACTGCACCAGGTATTGTATAGGTATCAGCAGGAATTGGACATTTACATGGAATACGAAATTGTTCGAAATATTTTGGACAAGCGTCAGCCCAAGCTTCACAAAGGTTACCATAAGTGCATGAACCAAAATTATCAATACAAGGAACTTTTACATAAAAACCTCCGACTTTTTTTTCCATTGTAACTGATACCTAAAATTAAAGAAAAAGAAAATATAAAATATGATTATTTATTAGATAATGTTTATATATAATTACATGAATATCTGTTGGAAGTGCAGCTCCAATAGCAACAACAAGACTAAGGCTAAGGTTTCCTATATAATACATATTAAAAATAGTATTTGTGAATAAACATTATTACCTGGTACATGAATTGGATCTGGAGCAACAACAAGAGTTTTAATTTGAATTGGATCGGAAGCGGGTCCACAATTTTCCCATGAAAAACCCAAACTTGGAACTTTCTATAACAATATTGAAAGATATAAGTTGGAAATCAGAAATTATATGCTTACTAATCCTAAATTTTTTTCTAACTTGAATGCATTAATATGATATATGGATAAAAGAAATAATGTAATATATATAACAAGTAAATGAATGCGAAATGCCATGGTCTGTGTACGAGAGAAATTTATATCTAAAAGCGAACAATAAAATTATGTCTTTTATATATAAAGATTCACTAATATCTATATCTTTGAAATAGATAAGAACACATCGTTATAGATAAACCAACCTCCATAAATAGAAGACACAAAGAATGAAAAAAAATGGCTTGTTTTTTTTATCACATGAAACTAAATGTATCTTTTTCAAGTATTTACTTATCTACCTTCGTTGTCAAATTAACTGTTGCATACTATTTCATACATTAAGTCAAAATCTAAGTAAAGTATTCGTATCAACCTACATATTTTATTATTCTTATGGCAAAATCCAATAGTATACCTTTCTTGCTACGAATGAACATAATTAATTGACTTAAAAAAAGAATACAATGACATAATATTGCATCATTAATAGAATATAAAACTGAAAAAAGAGATTCCTTTTTTTATTAACTATTGTTCGCATAATAAAATATTTTTCTTTCAAAATATATTCGACAACAACTTAAAGAAAGAAAGAAAGAAAATTTCTTCATTTAACTAAAAATATCTTCTTTATCTACTGACGTTCGCAAACAGAAACATTATCACATTACAAAAAAGAAAATATGTATTATTATTTATTTATTTATTTATTTTATTTTTTTATTAAGTTCAAGTATTGATTGATTTTTAAATAGATTTTAATATTATCGTTGCTCATTGGAAAATAGTCTTTATAATTTTAATTGCTGGAATGTAATAAAAAACGTCCATGTATTAAATATATAAAAGAAATATTCTCTGTACTATATTGAGCATTCATCCGTGGAAGACAAAAAGCGTGCTCAGAAAGGTAGATATGGACAAGATTGACTCTTATTACGCTATTCTCTTTTTCGATTTTATTGCCGCTATACTCTGTAATTTTTCGCTCTCTCTCTCTCACTTGTCGACCCTCGATTTTTGCTCACTTTTTTACTGCTTTGCTTCCCTTATTATCTTTCTCTCTTTCTCTCTCTCCCTCACCTTCTCCTATCCTCCCTCATGCGCTCTATATTTCTTTCGCCATGGCTAGTAGTTGAATATTCTTAGCTTTATGAAGCCTTTATATACCTGTCTTCCTTATCCTATTTACTCGCCTTTATTTTTCTCTCTCTCTCTCTTTCTCTCAGATATGAGTATTTATACAGTACCTGTTTTTATGTTTTGTATTGAGTACATTTTTTTACTTTTCTATTGTACAGGTAAGCAGCAATTGTATTCTATTTATTTAGTAGATGATATCATAAGGTGACTGAAAACTGACTTTTGTAAGTTTCGATTGTTTTTTTCTAAACCGAACTGTGTCTAAGGCAATAAATAAATTCTAAATACAAACATATTTTATTGCATATTAGTTATGACTTTATCGCTATACAAACGAATCTGTCTTTTCCATGCTGTTAGTTTTTTTTCCTTTTTTTTGCGTTCTACTTAAATAAAGGTATGGAAAACTATATCACTAATCAAGAATATAATATAGTGAATAAACTAACTTCATGCATAAACCAAAATGAGGGAACATATATAATAAAATATAGTTCCTTGTTTTTGAATAAAATCATAAAAATAAGTAAATTCTGTATGAAACTTCGTCATTTGTTAATATTAATATTGAACAGTCTTTTTTAGCTATGAAAAATTTGATTTATATCCATTTGATCATTTTACTCTTGACATTATTTGTTAAAACAGATGATGAAAACAACGAATCAGTAAGTTTACAAATTAATATGTACATAAATATTCATTCTTTGTATTATTTATAGTGTATTGCAAATAATGCCACTTATGCACTTTGTATGGTTAATGATACAAATATAATAGTAGTTTCAGAATTACTTACTGCAGAATTATTAAGTACAGAATGTCATACACATTTTATTGAAGAATCTTTAGGCAAACCAGTATGTGATGAACATGAACATACTGAAAAAGAAGGTCCAACAACTGCTCAAAGTATGTTTTTTCCCCTTAATTGAATATATTCCGAAATGACTATTTAAAATTTAAATTAAATTTTTATAGGATATGGCTATGGGTTTCTTGCTGTATTTATTATATCTGCTTTGTCACTTTGTGGATTATTAGCTTTTCCACTCATTTATAAAGTTTCTTTTCAACTTGTATTAGCAACATTTACTGCACTAGCTATTGGAACATTACTGGGCGATGCCATGTTTCATTTAATTCCATTTGTATGTATCAAATCTTTACAGGAAAATATACATAGATCCAAAGTATTTTATTTTATTATAGACATTAGGTATTCATAGTCATGCAGAAGAGGAACACGGACATGAAGAAGAAGAACATTCATCAATTACTGTTCCTGTTTATCAGTGGAGAATGCTCACTGCTGTAGCAGGTATGTAGAAAACTTTGAGTAAAAGAAAATATCACTTTTTCTTCTACATTTTAAGTTCTCTATGGATTTTATTTATTGGAAGTATTTCTTCATTGGATGGGTCATTTTCGCGAGAATAAGGTAAACATTACTATTTGATTATATCAATTTACAGTAAATATATTTAATCATTTAGGTTTCTATTCATTCTCATGATCATAGTCATGCAATTCAACAAGAAGATACATCCAGATCTAATGAAACAAATAAAAAGACAGCAATTACTATTCATGAAAATACAGCATATGAGCATCATTCACATAATCATCATCATAATTATAACGAAATTGATCCAGCATTAGCATGTGCTGATAGAGATTGTCTTCATCATGGCAATACTTCTGCAGTAGAAGCATCAAAGGAAATAGTTAATAATAAATCACCGAAACGTATGTTTACAAGAAAACAAGAAATTTATATCATAAATTGTTTTTGACTATTTTGTAGGTACACGAATTACAGGTTGGATGGTAATTATTGGAGATGGTATTCATAATTTTGCTGATGGTTTAGCTATTGGAGCAGCGTTTAGTCAAGAACTTATGTTAGGTGTAACTACAACAATTGCAATCGGTTGTCATGAATTACCACATGAATTTGGTCAGTATTCTATATATATATATATATATCTTATATTCGAAAAAAAATATTTTATTTTATTTTATAGGAGATTATGCGATATTGATACAATCTGGTTTTTCACATTGTCGAGCATTACTTTGGAATTTTCTTTCGGCAACAACTGCTTTCATTGGTTTCTTTGTTGGTGCAAGTGTATCAACAAGTGAAAATTCTCGTCAATGGATATTTGCTGTGACTATTGGCATGTTTCTTTATATTGCATTAGTCGATCTAGTAAGTATTGATTCTATAACTGGATTAAGACATTTATTTTAATAATTTTAGTTACCAACATTATTACCTGAAGAACGTTTTGAATTAAAACGTTTTATTTGTGTAAATATTGGCTTTTTAGTTGGTATTGTAATTATGTTTCTATTAGCTATATTTGAAGATAAACTGGTTGGAATAGGACATTAATGTTTTTTTTCTAAAATTATCGATTTAATTAATACATCAATCTTCTTTTTATTTTCTATTTTGTTCATAAAGAATTTGTATATCTTTATTAAAAAAAGAGATATAATATCACGTCAACAACATTCTGTATATATTAAATGAAATATTGATTGAACAATATTCACAATGTATAAATAATTTCTTCAAATATTTTTTAGTATAAAACAAAGCTGTAAGAAAGATATCAGTGTTTAATCACAAGCATGTATTCATCTATAGCATGGTGCTTTATAAGAAAATATTTTGTTTTTAGACATTAATCTTTTTCTTAAGAGTTGAAAAGAATGTTAAATTTTCTCAGGGATTTATCTTTCATAATACGAAAGAAATGTCATTATCGAAAGACCGAAAAATTGCAGAAGTAACTTTCTTGAGTCTACACAATGACGAATTTAGAATTCCATAAATATGTGGGGGCGATGCACTAGAATTTCATATATGGGTACTTGCTATATAATAAGGAATTTACATTCATCATATACAATACAAATCAAAATACTGTTTTCTATATTTTCAATATGCATATTTTACTTAATATTCTTTTGATCGTTTTATTTGTGAACAAAAGTGATGCATTAGTAAGTTTGAATTTTTTAAATATTTTTGTTTTTATCATTTATATGAATAGTGTTCTTCAACGAATACTACTTATACACTTTGTTCATCCGTTGGCTCAAATATAACTCCCATCTCACCATCATTTAATGGAGTTGAATTAATAAAAGAATGTCATGAAGATTTTATTAAGAAAATTTTGAATGAATCATGTGATAATGATACTAAAAATACTGCAGATAAACACGAAACACCGACGTTTATTCAGCGTATATGAATAAAAATATTCTATATTAAATTTTAAAAATATTTTTTTAGGATATGTTTATGGTTTTATTGCAGTATTTCTTATATCAGCTCTGTCATTAGTTGGTTTATTAGCTCTTCCAATTCTTTATCAAGTATCTTTTAAATATGTACTTGATTTATTTACTGCCATTGCTGTTGGAACACTTTTCGGTGATGCTATGTTTCATTTAATTCCATTTGTACGTTTTTTTCAAAATCTTTTATTTATATATATATATATTTGCTATTATAGGTTATGGGCCGTCATCAACACAATTTGAATGATCATCATCATCATCACCATGATCATGATCATGATCATTCATCATTTTCAATTCCAGATTATCAATGGAAAATTTTATTAGCTGTATTCAGTATATATTTAATAACCAAAAAACTATTTTCATAAAATTCATTTTCTTTTAGTTCTTTATCTATTTTATTTATTGGAAGTATTTCTTCATTGGTTTGCTCATTACAAACATGATCATGTAAAGAAAAATTTTTCTAATAGGAAACTTATTAATAATGAAATTAATTTTTATAGACTTCTTCACATTCTCATACACATAACCATTCAATTAAAAATAATGAAATTTTTCAATATACACGAGTTAACATCGATGCTGATGTTGAACATAGTCATCTTCATCATAATCATACACATCATAATTTACATCAACATTTAAAAACACCATCAATATATTCAAATGCAAAAAGTCATATTAATAATACAAGTTTACCTTGTACACCATGTGTTTTTTCAAATGAACAACATATTATTACTAATCCATTTATGAAAGATCACTCGAAAGAAAAAATGTTAGATAATAAAAGTGATCAAATATCAATAGGAACAAAAGCTTATAATACACAATTTAGTGAAGATGTCGATTATATCAATCCAATTCTAGGACAATTAAAAGGTAAATCGAAATTAATTAAATCATAAGAATTTATTTGTTTTTTTTTCAGTAATAAAATCTACTGGGTGGATGGTATTGTTTGGTGATGGTATTCATAATTTTGCTGATGGTTTAGTTATTGCTGCTGCTTTTAGTCAAAATGTAAAGTTAGGTGTTGTAACAACAATTGCTGTTGCTTGTCATGAATTACCACATGAACTTGGTAAGTAATTAATTAATTTGACAATATTTATGATATATATATATATATACATAGGAGATTATGCTATTTTACTTCAATCCGGTTTCTCACATTGTCGTGCATTATTATGGAATTTTCTTTCGGGAACAACTGCTTTTATTGGTTTTTTTATTGGTTCGTTCATGTCAGATAGTGAAAATATTCGTCAATGGATATTTGCAGCAACTATTGGCATGTTTTTATATATTGCATTAGTTGATCTAGTAAATTTTCTCACAATATCTAAAGTTTCCTAGTATACTTTTTCCTTTTAGCTTCCAACATTATTAGCCGATGGAGAATTTGAATTCAAACGTTTTCTTGTTGTTAATATTGGTTTTATATTTGGCATTACAATGATGTTTCTTTTAGCATTATTCGAAGACAAAATTATGGGTTTATCATTTAAATAATCTTCCAGTCTTCATCGAAATATATAAATATGTTTTTAAGAAAAAAAAAGTTGTTTTCTTTTTATGATAAATAAATATTGAAATATAAATAAGATGAGAAAAAAAGAAAGAAGTGTCATGTGAGATATAGAAAAATTGGAATGAGCAAAATATTGTTTGATTATTTTTTGATTGATAAATCAATATTAACACAACCGAGATGATTTTGACTTGAACCAATATCAACAGTAGCGCGATATTCACCTAATAATTCTGGTGGAACTTTTTTGTCAACAACTATATTTGCATTGGATACAGAATATATATTTGCTGCAATAGGACATTCACATGGTAAACCAAATCTGGCGGCATACTTTGGACAAAATTCTGCCCATAATTCACAAGCGTTACCATAATTACATGAACCAAAATTATCAACACATGGAACTTTTACAAAAAATGGACCCACTTTACGTTCAAGTAAAACTGTGACCTAGAGATAGTAAATATTAGAATAATAAAGAATAGAAAAAGTATGATAAATACATGAACATCTGTTGGAATTTCTAATGCTACACTGGCAGAACCGGTTATATTAAAACCTCCTAAACAATTAAATTATATAAATAAAAATAATGATGGATCAATATACCTGGTATACGAATTGGATCAGGAGTAATGGAAAGACTTTGTAATTGAATTGAATCTGTACTTGGTCCACAGTTATTCCAAGATAAATTTAAATCTATTGTTTTCTATTTTATAGAAAAATAATAGAACTATTTACATACATATATATATCAATGTTACCGTGAAGCCAAATGTATTAACAGTATAGAATGATACAAAAAGTAATAAACTTAGAGATAAGTGATTAATAGACATCATATTGCAAATCTAAAAAGCAAATGAAAAATTTATCTACCGGTAAAAACTAAGTTTTTCTAACTAAAAAAAACATGAATCACTTAAGCTTATGAAAGACAATTTTTTTTTTTGTAAAAAAAAAGCTAATTATTAAATTATTTTTGGACCAGAACCAATTTTTGTTAAAACGATTCTTTCAAGAGCATTAGCCATAATTGGAAGATTAATTGAAGAAAAATTTCCATCGATATTCGATACTTGTTTATGAACATTATCATTATCATTATTACTTGGATAAAAATGTTTTAAAAGACTTAAAAATTCATCGGCATGTTCTTCACGAATAAAACAAAATGGATTTGGTCCAGCATCAAATGTATACGCAACTTTCATTGTTTCATTTTCATCTGTTTTATTAAATGCATGAACTAAATCAATCAAATGTTTTGATTGTTCATTAAGATAAATAACTGGTGGATATGTATCCATACAAACAGCATGAAATTGACTACTATCCATCATAACTATTTTTGCGAATGTATTGAAATCTTTGATTTTAATTGCTTGAATTAATTTTTCAATTTTATCGTTAACTGTTGAAAGACGTGCTTGAAATAATGTCGAAGTTTCACGTGTACGTTGCATAGCATCAGTTGATGAAACAGGTTTTTTACTTGAATTAAATATTAATATAATTAATCGAAGTTCTGGCCAATGTTCAACAGGATAAATACATGATGAAAGACATTCACCTTCACTTGACCAACGAACAAAACCACCATAAACACTGCGAACAGCTGAACCACTACCAATACGTGCTAAATAAGCAGCTGTTGATTGTGGATTTTCTAAATTAAATAGCTTTGTTAATGCAATAGCTAAACTTGCATAGGCTGATGCACTTGATGCAAGACCACTTGATGCTGGAAATGTATTATGTGAGCGAATTTCAACAAATTTTATTTGATCATTTTTTGCTCGTCGACGAACTTCATCAAGAACTTTTTGCATTCGTTTAGAAAGTTTTGTCTGTTGAATACCATCAAAATAAAAAGTATCACATGTCATAGATGATGATGTTGAAACAGTTGTATCCGAATGTAATTCACCAAGATCAAGTGTTATACTAAGAGAATCATTATCGGGTAAAATGAGTTCTTCATTTCGTTTACCCCAATATTTAATAAGTGCAATATTAGGAGATGCTTGACATGTTACTGAAAGACAATCGGAATTATCAGACATGGTTTAATAATCTAAAACAAAAATTAAATCAATTAAAAATTTATTTAGAATGAATAGATGATTTTCCGCCGGTTTTTTCAACAAGACGGATATTGCGAATTTCAATCGATTTACTCAATGCTTTACACCTGAAGAAAAAAAGAAATTAATATTTTTTTCTTAATTGAATATGAAACACTTACATATCATAAATAGTAACCGCAGCAATAGTTGCACCAACCATAGCTTCCATTTCAACACCTGTTTGATAATTTGTCGAACAAATACATCGAACAAGAACTTCATTCTCTTCATGTTTATGTTCATATTCAATATCAATATGCGAAAGTGGAAGTTGATGACAAAGTGGAATTAAATCTGACGTACGCTATAACAATGCAAATTATTTCCTAAGAATTTTCTATGATATATATATAGCGAAACAAACTTTAGCGGCAAGTATACCAGCTAATTTTGAACATAATCTTGCATCACCTTTTTTTGTTGTTATATTAAAATAGGATTGAAAGGTATGAGAATCCGGAAATTTAACAGTAGCCTCAACAATCGCTTGTCGTTGAGTACTCTTTTTTTCACCTATATCAACCATAGTAATATTTCCATCAGATGTAATATGTGAAAATGTTGAAGAAGAAGAAGATGCAAATTGATAACCAAAACGATTGAAAACAAAAGAAGGAAATTTAGTTAATAATGAAAACATCTTTATCTTGAAATAAGAAAAAGAATACAAAAACAAAAAACAAAACAAAACAAATGTTAACATCGGTTTTCATTTATTTAATTTTTTATTTATTCACTCAAAACTGGCAGATTTTCTTTTTTTCTTGGAATTTAATTTAAATGATGATCTAAAAGAAATAATCAAAAATATAAATTTCCATTTTTTTTAATTTTAGATCAATACAAACCTATCTGATGATTCTTTAGTTGATTTTCTTTTAAATTGTGACCATACTTCATCATTTTCAATTTCTTTCGTTTCTGTTTCACCATTTTTCTCTTGTTCTTCTTCTCGATTTGTTATTGAATGTGATGAAAATAGCACAGATGTAAGACGAGATTTTAAATAGAACTACATAAAATATTATGTTACAAATAATATAATTAAAAAACAAAAATTACTTTTGAAACTTGTCGATGTGTATCTGCATCATGAATACGAACATATTGATCGATCGAAGCCGACGCAATTAATGGTAATGTTGGATGTGTATCAATCGAACGTATACTACCAATAACACCTCGATATTTATGTACTATTGATGATAAATGTTTAATATCAAATTGAGCCATTTCACCTTGAGTATTACCAACAAGAAAACGTCTATAATATAAGCATAAAATTGATTGTCAGGTAAATATTTAATATACAAACTCATTATTAGAAGAATGAAGTAATGCAAGAGACATTATTGGACATTGTTCAAAGTCAATTTCTTGAACTGGTCGACGTGCACTTGCTTGTGGATCATAAAGACGAATCTAAGAATTAATATTTCTTATAAATAATATAGAAATTAAGAAAAAAATCTAACTTGATGATGTCCGGTGACAACAAGACATCGATTTCTTTCATCAAGAAATTGAAAATCTGTTACCCAAACTGGCATACGAAGTCGTACAGTATTTGGTCGAATCTAATAATAAACATATTTTATATTTCAAACATATTTAAAAAAACATACATTTTTTGCTTGGAAAATAATTGATTTATTTTTAGTTTTTTCATTCTTCACTAATTCTTCGATTGACCAGATTTTTAAATCATTTTCTTTACCACCCGTACCGAAAAATGTTCGATTGAAAGGATTGATACGTAATCGACAGATATCAGGACCAGCATTTGCTTCAATCTATACTTCAAAAAAAAATAGAATAATGAATTAAGCATTTTATTACGAAATATTTTTTTCTGACTTCAGATACAAGAGATTCATTTTTAATATAATCAATCGATAAAGCACCATTTTCAGAGCATGTAACAAATCTATATTAAATAAAAACTATTATATCAAAAAAGAAATTAATCTATAATATACAAACCTATCTTCACCTAGATATGCTAAGCCTTTCAATGGACTTTCACGTGCAACTGTACCAATCTGTTGTATAGATTCATCAGCAAATTTTAAACGTAAAATATTATTTTTCTTTGTTGCAATATATGCCTACGAAAAAGTATGACATTCAGAACATAAAGACTCTTGTAAAAAAGTATTTACCTGCATATAATCTATCTCATTATTATCTAACGACCATTCGAGAAGAGTAATAGCATCAGCATAAGTTTCAGCTGGTTTATGAATTACATAGATACCTTTGTTACTTGTATCAATACCTTTTACAATGCCACTTTCGCAACCTGCTAGAACGTTAAAACGAACGGGCATATTTATCTAGAAAAAAACAAACAACTGCATTCGATTGAACTGATTCATTTTTTTCGATAGTCCTAGATCAAGCATAAATACTTAAAAATATAAATTATGATTTTCTTTTATAGGTCTTATCAATAATCAATATATAAAGCCAATTTCAAAAGCATTATATGAGATAAAACATCCTATATCTATATAGCAAGCAATATTATATTGTTTACAAAGCGCTAGACTAGTTTAATGATTTAAATTTTTTGTCATGCAATGATTAAAATAGGCGGCACGATCTAAAAGAAGAATAAAATATCTTTTCACGTTATTTTTGCAACTATTAAAAAGATTGTATTTAAGTATAAATTCTGGAATAAAAGAACTTTGTTTTATTTTTTTTACTTTGTAAGAAAAAAAAGAAGTTAACAACCAAGAGAAAAATTCTAGTTTATTGAATTATTTAGCAGTTGTTGTTGTTTTAAGTAAACCATGTTTATTAAGTTCTTGTTTAAGTTGTTCAATAAGTGGTGTTTCCGCTACATCATCATCCCAATGTTCTTCCCATAAACGTTTATCTTCTGTATCCAAATCATCTTGTGACCATTCTTCAACTGGAAATTCTTCGAATTCATCATCTTCTTCCAAACTTGTTATATCTAATTTTTTATCTTTTGTTGTTATTTCATCTTTTCCAGCTGCTGTTTTATCTTTATTGTCTTCCGTTTTTTTAGAATTCTGATTTTGTTGAGTACTCATCTAGAAAAAAAAGAATGAACAGGTATAATTTTGTATATATATATGTGTGTGTGATTCTCGACTTGGCTTTTTTTTATACTAATCAAAAAAATAAATAAATAAATAGTTAGAAATACGAATACAGACAACAATTAAAAAATGCAGATAAACAAGGCAAACTTTGTTTTATACAGAAAAAAAAGAAAATCAATCAAGCAAAATAGAAATCATTTGATTTGGAATGAAGAAATATTAATAAATAAAAGCTGCTATCGTTGCAATGATAAATTTGTTAGGTTTTTTTTATTCGAGAGATTTATGAACGGCTGTTCGATTTTGAATGTTGAATAAGCCATTGAAGTGTTATATCTAAATAAAAAATAATAAATTTAAATACAGAAAAATTATTAATTTACCAATATTTTCTTTTTCTTTGCATGATATAGAATAACAACAAATTTCACGATCTTTTATTGGTGATAAATCCCTAAATTTAAAATCGAATAATTTAATTTAAAATAAACAAAAATTTAAGAATTTTACAATCTTTGAATAAGTTCTTGAACTTCAAGTGCATTTGGTAGGTCACGTTTATTACCAAGTACAAGAACAGGTATACCTTGAAGTTGTGGTTTTTCAAGTAAACTAATAAATTCTTGTTTCGATGCATCCAATTTGTCATGATCAGCTGCATCAACCATAAATCTAATTATATAATACAATTGTCTATATAATAGGATTTTATTTAATTAACATACACTATTGCATTCACACCACGACAATATCGTTCCCACATACCACGAAAACGTGGTTGTCCACCTATGATAAATAAGAATATTTTTTATACGAAAAAAAATTTGACCAAATATAAATATGCATACCAATATCCCAAATCTAAAAATATGGATAATTAATTTATTAATTAATTTTTTTTCGAAATTTTTATTTACTTTGATGGTAACATTTCCTTTTGTTATTTTTCTCATATTAAATCCTACTGTTGGTATCATATCTTCGGAATATTGACCTGATGCAATTAAATTAACGAATGTTGTTTTACCAGAATTTTGTAAACCAACAAGTGTTAATTCCATTTCTTCTTTCCAAAATAAACTTTTAAACCAATCGAGAATACGTTGAACAAAGGCAAACATTGTTTAAAATATCACTCAAATTTTCTTTTTATAAAAATAAGAATTCGTCTATATGGCTATATCTATAAGAGACAACAAATGACTAATGAATAAATTCAAATCTTTTCTTCATATTCTATGATTCATTATCACAAGCGAATTTGTATTAGGTGTCTGACATGGCCGTGCAAATGCTTCCTTCGATTTTTATATAGTAGTGTCACAGGGGTCACCACTGTCTTAACTATGTGCATTATTGACTTGTAAAACTGATGACAAAATAGTTAAAGAATCTATGTACTTATTTCGTTTACAAAAATAACTAAAATTTGTATTATGTTCAATAATTGGACTTCAGTCATGATTCAAAAGGAGTTTTCTTTCACATCGATACTTGAATGTTTGTATTATGATTAGTTCAATCAATAAATATAATTTTATTTTTTTTGGTTGATAGCATTTATAATATAATTGACTAAAAATTCTACTCTTGCCTTTGCACATATCAAGTTATTCTCTAGAATCTAATAAATAACCAATTTTATTCATATTTCGATTCATTTAAACAAAAATACATTGAAAATAAGAATAATACATATTTTTTAAGAACAATCATTTAAAATAAAGTTTATTTATTATATATATGTTTTTTAACAACCTTCTAAAGGATCTTGACATATACCAGAAAGACACACAAGTTCATCACTACAATCAAATGTATTTAAACAAGATTTTGAATATGTTTGTGTTGGTTGACAAATACCAAAACGACATATACCATTTCCTATGCAACAGGGTGTTGAAGAAGGATCTGTTGAACATGATGAATATAATGGTGTACATCGTGTACATATTTGATTAACACAAAAATCATCAGTATTGAAACATTCTCGATGAAGATGACATGTTTGTCCAGTTTTATAAAGTGGTGTACATTGATGACGATAACAACGTGAACCACTACAACAATGAGCAGAATTTGAACATGATTCACTTGAATTACGACATGGAACACAATGACCACGATAACAAACAGTATTTGCATCATTATATGATAAACAATCGACAGTTGATTCACATGTAGATCGTACATCGATAATCACATTTACAATAGCAAATACATAACGTGGAATAACAATAAGAAGAAATATTGGTGGTTTCATGTCAAGATAGCAGAAGACAAATGATAATATTCTATATCTATCATAGGCCTCAATAATTATTCTCTCGTCTTCTAGTTTTTTGTTTATTTATTCTACAGTATTTTTTTTGGATGGATGAAGAAAGAACTGTTTTGTTCGATATCGAATAGCATATATGACATACACGGATATCCGAGACTCAATTCTCTTATTTTCTATTGTCCTTTTCTTCTCATCTCTATGCCTATATATATATATATATCCATGTTCTGTAAATATCAAAGACTTTCACAACTACTAATTTCAACAATTTTCATATAAATATCTATCTATAAGAAAAGAAGAACATTAGACTAATCATTTTTAAAGTCATTCATGGACAACATATGATATTGTTTCGAATACAATTATTGAACAGAAACAAAATGTTGAATATAATACAATATATATTTCAACATCTGTATTGTATTAATGTTGTTTTATAATATTAGACAATCGATTTATTTAGATTACAAAGAAAAAGAGAAAACGAAACTTCTCTATTTATAAATGATGGTCAAATTTTTCTTATATATAATAAACGTGATGTATTCTCATCATTGTTAATAATATTCTAATCCCTACATTCTCTCTTCTCATATACGAAATGTATACTTTATAGGTGAAAAGAATATCAACATGTAACATAATTATTATTGACTTCAGAATCAAATTCGTTCATAATGAAAGTGACGATAAGCATGTACTAAGATTAAATTTGTATTATATATGTTTTTTTCCTCTAGCTTTTAGGTAACGTATGTTTAAAAATCATAAAGATTTGTCTGAATTACACAAAAAAAAGAGACGATCATAAATGAGAAAGAAGAAAAATGTACATTTTTATATCTTTGCTCTTCAATATACAAGAATAAATACTTTTAAACATGAATTTTTTTTGTTTGATAACCAACGGTCAATGATCATTCTTGTAATTGTCTTCGATTTACATTAATCATATAAGAAAGAAGTTTTATATATCCATTCGAACATAAATCAATTGTCATAATATACCAATTCTTTTTCTTGTTCTTATTGAATGAAGAATGACTATTGAGATAAGAGATCTTACCTGACTACAGATGATTGTACTTAATCATCTCTCTTATATGACTTAAGTGAAAAGTATCATAATATATACATAAAGATAAGTAGTAAGAGATCATTTCATTTTTTTGAAATTAATTTAGATGTTCAAAATTTTTTTAATATGTATAAATCTTTGTACAGTATTGACAAATTCTAATCAAACGGATCGTTTACGTCGACAATCTCCATTTGCTGATGGTATTCAACCACCATTACATAAGCATGAACCACGATGGGTACTGCCAACACATGCTCATCGTAAATCTGAACCGTATGTATTTTATATTATTGAAAATAAATTATTTTTATTCATTTAGAAATTATATGATCGTTGGACCGAAAATAGTTCGTCCATCAGATATTGTTTCGGTTTGGGTAACTATTTTAAATAAAGACTGGTCAGTGACAAATGTTGCCGTTTCATTATTTAATCGAAATGATGAAATAGCAGCAAATGAACAAAGTCTAATACCAGAAATTCCAACAGCAGTTGTATTTCAAGTACCACAAAGTGCACCAAATGGTACTTATAGAATATATATTCGAGGAACATTACCTAATGGTCATGTTGTTTTTTATAATGAAACAAATGTTATTTTTCATCCGAAATCTCTTTCAATTTTTATACAATTAGAGAAACCGATGTATAGACATGAACAACTAGGTAAAAATAAAATATTTTTTAAAAAATGAAAACTCAAAATAGAATACTCTGTACATTTCTAGTTAAATTTCGATGTATTCCAGTTTATTCGGATTTACGTGGATATTTCAGTACAGTCGATGCCTATTTAATAGTAAATAACAAGATTAAATAAATGTATCTTTGTAAAATATTTTTAGGGTCCAATGAATAATATATTAAGACGTTGGCATAATTTACAAACAACATGGGGTTTGTTGTAAATTAAAATAAATCTATTTATTTATTTATTTATTTTCTAGGTTATGTGGAATTATCATATCAATTTGCTTCATTTATTGCATTTGGTACTTATACAATACGTTGCGAAGCTCAACAATCAGTAAATCAAAAAGAATTTTTAGTTGATTTCTTTTGTAAAAAATATTTTTTTATTTAATTAATATTGAATTATTTGAAAAAATTTATATTTAGTACAAAAGAAAATCGAAGTTAATGTTTCATTACCATTTTTTATTAATGTTGAATCATCAACTATTAATGGAATTGTTACAGCCAAGTAAAATAAATTTATTCTAATTTTTTTTTAATTTTATCATTTGTTTAGTTATACAACTGGTCGTGGTGTTGTTGGTTTAATGAGATTAACTGTACGTTTAAAAGATTTAGATGAAAGTTTTGAACCAGCAGTTAATATTATTCCTGTACCTGATGCACCAGGACCAAAACTTGATTATCCTTATAAATCAGTAAGTTATAATAGATAAGAATAAAATAAATAGTTTTATTTTTTGAAATAGTTTATTGGTCGTTCTGATTTTGCTATACCAATATCAGAAGCAGTTCGTGAATTTGGTGATTTAGTCAATCGTGAATTAATATTTACAGCAACTGTATTCGATCCATTATGGAATGAAACAACAAATTCATCATTTCTTACATCATTTTATAAAACAGAATATCGTATTAAATTTCTTAATAGACAATCAGGTGTATTCAAACCTCAAATGACATATACACTTAATGTAAAATAAATTAAATGATACAAAATTACTTTTCAAAATATATCTATAATTTAGATTGCTGTATTAAATGGTGATCAAAGTCGATTTCGTGTTGCTGATTTTAATCGTAATACAACATATGTACGTATACAAACTAATTTTGATGTTGGTCCACCACTTGCTTCAGTTGATCATCCAATACCTGATGATGCTTTAGTTAAACATGCATTTATTATTCCAAATCAGAATCAATCAATGTATATGTCTATTCGAGTAAAATTAATATATTCGATTTTCTTTTCAATTATTGAAAAAAAATCGATACTATTTTTAGGCAGAATTATTTATTAATAATGAATTTATTCAAACAGCATTTATTGAACAACGTTCAGTTCGTTATCGATCACCAAGTCAAACCTATATTCAAATTACAACAAGTACAAGACAACCTCGAGTATAATTTATTGTTTACAAAAAAAAATATTTCTTTTTTTTATTTTCTTAGATTGATAATTATATGATTTTTACAGTTAATGTCAGTCGTTATTGTTCACATGTTCATTATCATGTAAATTTTCTTTATTAAATTGTTTCAATTCAAAAAAATCTCTTTCTATTAGATTATTTCAGCAAGTCGTATCGTTTATACAGATACAATTCAAATGCTTAATTCGCGTCAACAAACAGTTTATGTAGCTGTAACACGTCGTATGGCTCCATCAGCACATATTCTTGCTTATTTTATTGATTATACAGGTGAACTTGTTGCTGATGTTATTCATTTTCATGTTAGTATTACATCGGATACAGTTGCACTTAATTTAACACTAAATCAACGGAAAGATTTAACAGGTGACACAGTTGAATTACTTGCTTATGGACCTGCACAAGCACGAGTTGCATTTTCTGGAACAGAATATGCTCAATATCAATTATATGGTGGAAATGATATACTGGAAATGGATGTAAGTCACAGTATAATCAAAGAAAGAAAAAAATGATAATACATTTTTCATATAGATTTATAATGAATTATATGAATATGATGCTGCTGCACATCCAAGTCCAAATATAACATGGTATTCAAATTTTTTAACACCTTCCGAAAAAGTGTATCGTGTTGGTCAATCAATTGCCGCTAATGTTTATCGAGTATTTCGTTCGGCTGGTCTATTTCTATTGACTGATATAGATATAGTTATTGATGAAGAACAAGAAGAAAAATTTTGTATGGAATTAGGAAATCGATTTACTTGTAATGATGGATCTTGTTATACAATTAGTGAAAAATGTGATGGTATTTTTAATTGTCTAGATGGTGCTGATGAATTAGATTGTTTGTATTAAAAATAGTAAAACAGAAATAATTCTTATTCCTATTTTTTTTGTCTGTATGAGATAGGTCCGGAAAAATCTGGACCATCATTTACACCGATAAATAAACGTTTATGGCCATATTGGGAACGACTTTTTCAATTATCAATAGCTTGGGAATCTGTTTCGAGTTATCCTGATGGTCGAGCTCAATTAACTGTCGGTGTTCCTGATGTCATTGGTACTTGGATGGTTTCAGCATTTTCAATTAGTCAACAAAATGGTCTTTCAGTTTTGCCTAGTGTTGTTACAGTAAAATGACATATATTTTTTTCTATTTCTAAAATTAAAATGATATATAAATAAGTTCGAAGGTACAAGACAATTTTTTATTTCTGTTGAAATCCCAGGAAAAGTTCGACTTGGAGAACAAATTGGAGCACGTGTTGATGTATTTAATTTTCAAACACATCGAATTGAAGTAAGAAAAAAATTATATTATTTAATAAAAGAACAAAATTTATTTTTAATCTAGGCGTTAATTATTTTACATGCTTCACCCAATTATCGCTTTATTAATATTGATCAAAGTGGTCAAGCATCTTCTTTTGCACCACGAACATCCGAAGGACATCATCATGTTCTTCTCATTGTAAAATAAGAATAATTCATTTTTTTCGGAATTTCTTTAGAAATCTTCTTCAATATTTTCAGTTATATCCAAGTAGTTCAAGACGTATTCATTTACCAATTCTACCTTTAACAGTCGGTTCAATTGATGTTATAATCGAAGGTATAACAGGAGTTAAACAAGATATTGAAACAAAAACAATCGAAGTTGTGGTTGGATTTATTATTGTTAATAAAAATTTCATATTATTATTAGTATTTAATCTTTTTAGTATGAAGGTATTACAAATCATTATTCGACATCAACATTAATTTCACTTGAAAACACACCACGACAAATGTATGAATTTGATATCATTGTACCAGAAAATTATATACTACCATTACAAAATTATTTGATTTATGTACCCGGTTCACCTAAAGCAAATATGTATATATCAGGTAAATGTATAGTTTATCTCTTTTTACTTAAATATCGTATGGCTTTTATTGAATAGGGGATGTTGCTGGACCATATTTTTGGGAAGGATCAGAAAAAGCATTAACATCTGATAATCTTATTTATAAGACGGTTGCAGCTGCTGAAGGTGCATTAATTGGTTTTGCTACAATGGTTTATGATGTAATTTATTTAAGACAAGGTCATGGTGGAAAAGGATTTGATCAATCTAAACTTATACAATTACTTGATCTTGCTAATATAGGTAATCTTTATAATATAATCTATATAAAGATGATTAAATTATTTCTTTTTTATAGAATATAATCGTTTAATGGCATTTTATTTTGATGATCAATCTGATATGGGTATTCATGATGGTGCATTTAGTAATTTTGGTTGGAAAAATGAAACAAGTGTATGGTAAATAGAATGAGAGAAAAGAAAAAGTATATATTTATTTTATTTTAATGATTGAAGGTTAACATCATGGGTTTTAATTGCATTAAAAGATGCATCACAAGCTGAATGGGAAACTCATAATCTATTTATCGATCCACGTGTACGTGCAAAATCATCGAGATGGGTTATGACACGTCAAAATGAAGATGGTTCATGGAAAGAACATAGTAATATACTTGATCGAGAAAAATTTCAAGTAAAATATTTCATTTCAAAAATCGTTTTTATATTATTAATTTCAAAAATTTAGTCACTTTTACATTCAATTGATACAGATTTACCTTTAAATTTATCCTTAACAGCTCAAGCAATAATTGCATTAAAAATGAATTTAGATATCAATGGTTTAATGAAAGAAGAAATGACAGATGCTATTGATCGTGGTCGAAATTGGCTTGAATTACATTATCATGTATAATAGCATTTAATTTAATTCATATATACAAAAAAAACTATTCTTTTAGATGATTGTTGATTCATTTGAATTAGCAATTACAACATATGCATTACATGTTGTTAATAGTCCAGAAAAAGATAAAGCTTTCAATATGCTTATTAATCAACAACGAACAAGTAGATTTAAAATTTTTTTTTATTATGTATAATATTTAGTTAGTTAAGGTTCTTCTGGTATTTATTGGTCAAATATTGAATTACCATCTAATAGAGCTGTGTTCATGTCATTAAATGAACGTTTAGCACCAAAATATGAATCCGAATTAGAAGCACATGCAATTGCATCAACATCATTTGCTTTATTAACCTATATAAAACGTGCTCAAACATCATTAGGAAAACCCATTGTACATTGGTTACAAACTCGACGAAATTTTGTAGCTGGTTGGTGTTCAAGTTATGATTCATTTTTTGCTCTAAAATCTCTTGTTAATTATGCCATACGATATGGTGATACAATACAACAATATAATTTACGTGTTAATCTTTCATCATCAGATGATGCTTATTCTAGAAAATTTGAACCAATTTTAATTACCGATGATAATATTATAGATGTACAACAACGTTCAATTGAAAGTGTTTATGGAAGAGTATTTATTGATGCATATGGTACAGGTTATGCACTCATGCAGGTTAGATTAATTTGATTATATATATTTGAAGAATATTTATATATATATAGATGAAAGTTGAAGTTAATGTTGAATATCCTGAATTAATTCGTCCTGTAGCCTACGAAGCATTTCAAATGTCATTAAATGTTCATCTATCTAATAAATATAATTTTAGTTATTTATTATATGAACCATGTGTTACGTATGTAATGATTTATTCGAAAATAGGAATTTTTTTTTATTTTAATAAAATAGATGGTTACCAGGTTTAACAAAAGCTGGTCGATCGGGTTGGTCAATATTTACGATTGAAATACCAACAGGTTATAAAATAGAAGAACGTTATCTTAAAGATTTAGTTGGTTTTGGTATTGTACGAAATCTTCGTGATGCAGAAAATTATCCAAATTCACTTAATTTTCTTTTTGAATTTGTAAATTTTATTTTTATTTTTTCTATCGATAAATATTTTATTATTTTATCTAGTTTGATACAACTCCAATTTGTTGGGCATTTGAACTTAAAAGGTATATTCCTGTTGCAAATATGACACGATATTATGAAATGAAAGCTTATGAATGGCATGAACCTTGTAAATAAAAATTTTGAAATTGTTTTTTTTTATTTTCTTTCTCTAAAATAGGGAGTGCAAATCGATCAATGTATACATTACGTACACTTTTTGGCCTTGATATTTGTTCTGTATGTGGTTCATATCAATGTCCATATTGCCCTTACTATGCTAAAAGTTCACAAATTCAAATAACATTATTTATAATCATTTTTTTCATTGTATTTCAATTATTTCAAATTCATTAGTTAAATTATTATTTTTTTTCTCGTTCTTTCTGTTATTGTTATTAATACATTTTAGTTTATAAATAAAAATAAAATCTATTGAACAATATTGAAATTTTTTTTAATAATGATGATGATCATCTATAAATATAGTATGTTATTTGAATAAACTAAAGAATAGTCTGAAAGCCATGCAAGTGTTATTATTCATCATATATGTATAATGTGAGAATAGAAATTGAATATCTATTCGTGATGTTGACGATTGAGTGTTCGAGTTTTTTATTCACACTTTTAGTTTACTTATACTCAAGCGATGCATTTCATCACTATCGACAATTGATCGGTACTATACTGCACTTTTCTCTTATCAAAAGTGAAGAGGTACAAATGTTCCTATTGTTGTTTTACATTTGTCAACTTGATGCTTGGATATACTAAGACACAGCATGGCGAGACGCGCTCATAAGCATAATCGGCCTTTATCATATATATATACACCTCATAAGTGACAATTATAGTCTGTATAGACATAGAACTTGATACATATAGTGAAAGGTAGACACGCGTGCTTATATTATTATTATCGTAACAGTATGAGATGTTATGTCTTGAATTTTTATTAATTGATATATTAAGATGAAAAACAATATATGACAAGTTGATTTTCGAAAAAATTTGATGGAAATGAAGAAAACAGCAAATGACATCATCATCATTGTCATCATCTTTGAATCCAGCTGTTTCGTTTATCAAAAAAATCCATTTAAAATGTAAATGATTTCATCAAAAAAAAAGTTGACCACCTGTCGTGTACGAGGTCAGATTATTTTCTTTTTTTTTGATACATATATATATACATATTATGCAATATAGAATAAAACCAAAAAGTGAAATATTTGACCATTCTTTTCTATAACTTTATCCTTTTATTTCTAATGAATGATAAATGTGTTTCTTTCTTCATACTTTATTGTTGTTATAACTATAGAGAATATAATTAGTAATGTGAATTGTAAGACCATGATATATAATATATTAATAAAAGAACAACACAATATGTTAGTCATGTTTGTTTCGTAATCACTAATAACAGTTACATACAAAGTTGAAAGAGACATTCATATATAGTACAGTTAATCTACATATGGAAATTACTCTCTTAGCTATTAGCTGCCGTCATTGCCGTCATCGTTTGATACAGTTTAACGTACGGAAACATGTTCTGGCAATTTCCTGTAAGTGTATATACGCTTATTGCACCTCTTGTCTCAATGAGAATTTGTTCGTTTGAAGTTGATGAATGAATTTATAGTCATAAGTTCAGGCGGGACGAAAATCTACATAACTCAATTAGATAAAAATGTAGAATATCGGAGAAATCATGAGAAGAAGAAGAAGAAAAAAGAACTTATCATTTATTAACACTTACTAAGCAATAGTTCTTTCTGACATTTATATTGGTACAAATGAGTACAAAAAAATGTCAATAGCTGTAATTTGTTCATACATTTATATAGATCGGACGAAGGTCATTGTCATGAGAAATAGATATAATAAAAATAGATTAGCCAACAAAACTACAACAACGGATCGATTAACTCGATCACAAATGATATTCACATATATATGCTAAATAAAACAATATTTTGATTATTATAAAAGTTTTATTGCTCATAATTTCATTGTGTGAAAAGATTTAATTTATTTTAAAGTATATCGCGCGTATATGAAAAAAAAAGATTATGATTAAATTTTCAGTTTTAATCAAAACATTTCATTATAAACAATTAGTCGTTATTTCTCTTTTGTTTAAATCTTTAAAAAGATTAGAAAAGATGAAATAATGATCTATCTTGTGCAATATTTTAATCCTTACTTCTTCATTCAAGTATACTCGTTCTTTTTTTCTGTATGTATTGAATTCACGTCATACGTACAAATTGCTTTTCATGTTATCTGTCTGACAGTTAGTCTGGTCATTTTATCACCTTTTTCTTTTACTTTCTTATATATATATATATATACATACGTTTCTTTTCATTTCCCACTTATAGATTTTCTCTCTTATTTTTAAGATGCTTAAGTCTCTCATGCAAAAATTTTTGAGAAGTAATTTAGTTAATGTTATGTGATTACAATGATGATAGACCTTCAGACTTTCACCTGTCGACGATTTCGTGTTTGTACTAATGAGATATATTCGTGAGGCATGACTAGTTATATGTTGTTTGCTGATAACTAATTTGAACGATTTGAACACATACGTATATATCATATTGTGAGATCATATCCATTCTGTTTTGACTTGATGACATTCTATATCCAAAGGGATAACTCACAAGAATAAGCACGCACATACGTTGTTAATGATTACATAGAGAAAATGATTAATTAATTGCAATAGTTATTCATAATGACATGAACAAGCTTATGTTACTTTCTCTTTTTTTTTTTATGACTTGAAATTAAAACAAAAGAAAAAGAAAAACTAGCACCGTCTTATCGTGTTCGGGTCAGTACACTTCCTGAATGTGAATTTGAAACATAATCAATGTCTGAAGTATAAGAAAAGAAAAGGAAAACGAGAGCCAGACAACGTAAGAAGTAGAGGAAACAAGAAAAAGTGACGATTCGAATGTCATTTGCCCTTTCATATATGAATACATATAGAGGTCGACTAATCGAGCAACATTATCTTAGCAGGCGGGCGGCTGTCATTACATCACACCTTCAGGCTGCTATTCAAATGTGTTCGTGATGACAGCTAGACAATGAAATAAAAATTTTAGTATATGTAAGACTAGTTAAATTACGTGAAAAACGTGCCGTTCACGCTTCCGATACATTTAATGAACGGTATGCCGACCATCAGTAAGCAGACACTTTCGTATGTATACAATCATACTTATGACGGCGACTCGACTTCTAAAAGAACAATTAACTCCCGAATAGAATAAAAAAAGAAAGAAAATGAAACTATGTTGGGTAGTCTATCAATCTGGCGTGTGTGTGTGTGAACATATAAAAGGAATATACCCATGAGAAATGACCATTGATAAGAAAAACCGTCTGGTCAGTTATTTTTTTTCTCATTTAGTTTTAATACTACGTAAATCTATTGACGCGTGTCCAAAGAATTCTTTTGGTTTCACAACTTGTTCCATTGTTGACATTTTGCCGCCTTGCAATCAAACTGTTCTCTGTTAATTTATTTTATCGCCTCAAGCATATTTATATACATAGAAAGTAAGAAATGATGACAATACAATGAAACGAATAGATCGATCGATCGATCCAGGATTTCCTTTTTTGATTCATTTTCACACTCACTTGAAAGGAGTATATATGGATGTGAATGATTGAGTATGAAACAAAGAATAAAAGAGAAAAATAGGATGGGCAAATTTAATCATTCAAAACATAAGATGATGTTTGTCATTTAATATGAAGAATTGAGAATAGTTTATCTATTCGATGACCTTGAGGCGCCGACATTATATTTAAGTTGATCAAGATCGAATATAAACAATTCAGTTTTCTTCATCTCTCGTATATCGTTAACAGCATTGCAAGGCAATTGTCAAGTGCACTATGTACTAGTATATATACGTATATGCATACATACATACATATACGGGATCAGTAAAGTAGGCAAAGACTTTATTATTATTATCATCATCATCATCACTGTTAATCGCTATTCAAACTCTCTCATTCTCGCATCATCTTATATCAATCTCACAAAATTATGAAGCAAATAAAGTAAGAAAGTGAAATAGATCTCATAGGCGGAGACAACGCCTTAAGTCAATCATCTTTTTTTTCTCTTTAAAGAGATTGTCCAGAATGAATATCTAATCTTATTTGTAACATGTATAGAAAAAAAATTCTCTAGTGAAAACATAACGCAATGAGCTCATCTCATGCACGAAGAAAAAAAAATATTATAAAATAGAAGAGAAAAATTAAATTGCATAACTTTCTTTCTATCTACTTATTCATGTTTTTAATAGGAAAAGAAAGCTGCTAAAAAGATGTATGTTCAATATGTGTTCTATCTTATTTTTAGTGTGTAAATGGAATTATCATTCGAGCGAATATTCGTTGTTAAGTTTGTTTTCTCTTTCTTAACCGTTAATGTCTAATGAGGTTGACACACAGGATGATATCGATCCACTTACACACATTGCCGAGTGTATTATTTGTAGGTGATAACCTGGCGTGAGACCTTTTCGTACTCATACATACAATCGAAGAGCTCATTACATTCATCCGATAAGAGGAAAGATGGATCGAATATCGATCATTTCAAGTTGTCATCAGTTCGACAACACATACAATATGAGACGAATAAGAGTGAGTACCCAATAAAATGCTCATACGTTCTTAGAAGCCTCTTGTATATGTATATATATATATGAGTCCATACATTATTTCAGCTGCTGCCGTTGTCTTCCTTCTTCTTTTTCTTCTTCTTTTACTTTCCTTAAAGCTTTGTTAGAGGAGAGAAAAGCAATTAAATGATTAACAAAAGCCTTACTATTGAAAGACATTCGCGTTAGACTAGTGATGATAGTCAGACGCGTTAACAATACGATCTTACTTTTTCTCCACCCATTCTCATCGATCTCAAACTCGTTAGGGTTAGTCAAGCAAGGTCTTACGTACGTAGATGAATTAAAAGATCATGATATCTTTAGATACACACGCATGCACACACATCTGCATGTTGTCTGAATGTGTCGCGTCTCAAGATGTTTCCTTGCATCAATCTTTCGATCGTGCGAATTAGGCAAGTGTTGATAAGAAGATGGCGGTCAAAAAAGAGTAAAGCGTTCATAATTTTTTTCTCAGATGTGTTCTTTTTTTTAATGTTTCAATATTTGACATTCTATATGAATAAGATAAATATTGTTTAGGTCGGGAACAAATTTCTTATTCTCTCTTTTGCCTTTTTTCAACTGAAAGATTGATCGATGATCATCATCATCGTCGATTACAGGAGAGAAGAGGAACGAGAAGGAGAGAGACAGGGAGAGACAAGAAAGAATTTCTCGTTGGAGAGAAAAAGAAAGAGAGAAAAAGAATAGAGAATTCTTCTTCTCTTCTCATTTTTATACATGTTGAAAAAGAAGAAACAAAAGCTTATACACGAACATTATTGTATTTCTTCTGATATTCTAGATCATGATGTCAATTATTTTCTTTCTAATATTTATTTCCTCTGTGACTTCAATTTCACTTGATATTCGTTATCCACAATTTTTTCATCAATCTATAAATGATTCATCTGTAGAAATAACTGAAGGTAAAAGTGCTGGAAGTTTTATTGCATTTATTAATCTTATTAATGATACAAATATTATACCAAATGAATGGTTACTTAATATAACAGATACTGATTTTAAAATTCAATCAAATGGTTTATCCTATTCATTAGTAACTACACAAACTTTGGATCGTGAACGAAAAAATTTCTATGAATTTTCTATCAATGCTCAACATCTTATACCACCCTATGAAAAATTAACAAAGTTAATACGTATTCGTATACTTGATATTAATGATTGTATACCATCATTTAATCAAACTGTATATCAAACAACAATGATACCAAATGAATCTACTTATACAATTACGGCATATGATTGTGATCAACCAAATACTGAGAATAGTCGAATTACATATTCTTTATCAAATTATCAAGATCTATTTCATATTAATGAATCTACTGGTATAATTGAATGTATTAAAAATACGAATACATATGAACGTTATGAAATTATTGTTGTTGCACGTGATCATGGCAAACCACAATTATCATCAACAACATTAGTACAAATTCAATTAGTATCATCAATGCAAAATAAAAATTTTCTATCATCATCGTCATCATGGTTACATGTTGAACAAAGTCCTCGTAATATTCTCATACTTGCTAGTATATTAGCAGCTTTATTTGTATTTATATCATTATTTATATGTTTAATATGTTGTATAAAATATAAAATTAAACGATCGAAACAAGAAAATAGTTTAACAACAACAACATCAACAAATTTAAATAATATTCATTCAATGATAAGTGAAAGAAAATTTCCTTCAACATCATCAACAACATCATTGAATGAACTTCAACAACATACAGCAAATGGACAATTTACACGTATTACAGATGATTTACATTTTGAACGAACAGCAGTAAGTAAAAAAAAAAGAAAGAGAAAATGTTCTCTCTCGATCTCTTTTGTCGGTAGATATGTTGCAACATATTGTAATAATGTTTTTAGATTCTTTACGATGCAATGAATGTCTTTCCAAATACCTATTATTTGCCACTTAAACAACAAGCGGAATTAATTGAAAATATAAATAATTCAAATAATAATGATACATCATCACATTTACCACAATCATCATCAACAACAAGTAGTCCAGTTTCAGCAACTGGTACTGCTACAAAAGCTTGTTCGGATGATGGTTGTTACTGTTCGAGTGATATGTCATCTGAACAATCGAATAATCTTCTACTACTAAATCCATCGTCACTATCAGCAACAACTTCGAAATTATCAGCAAAACATGTTCGATTTATTGAAAATAATACTCGTGTCGATGGAGCTTTACAACGTTTTGAAAATCTTTACGGACCACAGACAACGTCGGACCATTGCGCTTCTTATGTTTGATCTGTCAATCTTCTTTGTTTTTTGTGTATATGTATTTAAAAGAGAACAGTCGGTTGATGCGGATCATAAATTTTTATTCTCAGGTAGCCAATATTTATGTATATAGCATCCGACGGCGACGATGATGACTGACTGTGAGATGTCAATATTTCTTTCGGATATAGAATTAGGCTTGTGAGTCTTCAAAAGGTCAGTCTACGACATTGAGCATGCATGCATACATACATATATATATATATATACGTGCTCGCCACTCACAATCCGATTATCTCTCTTGTGCGCCGCAATGATCATAATACATATTGCGTGTGTGTTACTTTATTACTGTTACAGACGCGAGACGATCAGAAAAACAAGTTGACCATTTATTTTGCCTTTTCTTCGAGCCATCCAATTAGTAACTCCAAATGACAAAGCTGTTACTGCCATTCTTAATTGGAGTACAAAAGAAGGACTAGATTATGTTTAGAGTATGTTTATTATATGTTGAAAGTAAGAAAGAGAGAGAGAGACAGAGAACAAAAAGACAGAATCGCAGATGTTTGATTATTTATAAATGTAAAGAGAAAATGTGTGTGTATATGTGTGTTTAGTTACACTTATAAGGCTTCATTGGCATGTCATTGAAAACCGATTTATTGTCATGCTTTTATGATTTAAAAATATTTTGATGTGATGATGGACCCACCCTATAGTTTGACTAAGCATACTTATTCATCGAATATGATAGAGAGACAAAATCAATTATTCATACATACACAAAAAAAAAAGAGACGATGATGAGAATTTAACAAGGTCACTCTATTTCAACATTGTGCAGGCAACTGTGACTGATCGAGTATCTATACAAAAAGAAAATGACTGAAAGTCTGCATGTGTTCTATTGTTTGATCTCGCATTCATTATTATATATATCCGATTGTCTTCAAAAGGTTCAATTTGATAATTAGACGAATAGTTTTCATTCTTTTTCAATAAACATGAATGAATACATACGCATATATATATCTATTAAGACGGTAAATTGAAATTCTTGAATTCACACGCACACTTTTATTGATTCAATGTATCTGATGGATAGATAGACGTGTTTAAGTCGCGATGATTAGACTTGATAAATAACAATACGGTAATAAGAATTTGTGATTATGATGATGTTGATAAAAATAAATGAATTTACTGCCTTCTGTATTTTTTCTTTTCTTTTCATATTGAAAAAAAACAGCTTGGAAGAAGTCATATATATGTATTTGATTATTTGCATCTAATCTATATTCTCAATATGTATTTATACATAGAGTTGTTTCTGTTTCAATCAGAATATCATAAAGACTAGCAGCATTCACTCTTTCTCTCTCTCTCTCTGTCTCCATTCAATCTAATTTTAATATTGATCATTGCCGGATGATGGTGCTTAAAACAAAAAGGGAAGAATATTGACCTTCCTCAATAGCAAGAGTCAAGCTGCCTTTTTCCCTTCCTATAATGTGAGAAAAAAGCTCATCATCGTACATTATTACTTTCTAAATAGCCGAATATAATCCAAAAATTGTTTACTATCATATAATTGTATAGTACATGTGAATTTTATATGATGCAGCTGCTGTTGATTGACCATTCTAATTGATAGTTCACTCTATAGACATCTTTACTTAATAAAATATCTTGCATTTTGGTGTTCTAGAAGAATTATATTGAATGATTGATTGAATCTTGAATATGTTGTATTCTTTGTATTCAACTAGGAAAACAGACGATTACTTCTTTGTTCTATACAATCGCGTAATACCCGCTGGTGACGACTATGACCAATTGTGATCGGTCAAAGAATAAATTGACGAATGTGAATAAATGTATGAGCATAAGGAATTGCCTATCATTTGAGCTTTTTATAATCCCATATGAGAAAAATGAACAAAAATTTCTTGACTTTATCATCTTTTATTTGATATCTCCTTTACAAAGTTATATCATATTTCTATCAACATTTAATAATATATATGAAAAATTTTCTATCATTTATAAAATCTTAAAATTATACTTCTCAAGCAAGATGAATAATAAGTCATATTTTGAAAAAAGATCAGTATATGCAACTAAGACATGCGTAGGCTGATACAAATACATGATTCTTTTTTCTTCTTCTTTAGATATATGATACAGAACATTGAAGTAATTTTATTTCATTGAGAATCTTAAATGACTATTACAGTAGTTAGATTTCAAAGTAAATGAGCTTCTTATTTGTCAAAAAGATTTTAATATTTTGTAGGCATTCTTTGGATATTATACAAAAAAAAGACAAACCAATTGTGAAAAGTTTTTATATAAATATTCCATATTTTACCTTGTAATCCGTCATAAAATAAAGATAACCAAAGGTGACATTTTATATGAGTCATGTTGACTCTTATCGCTTACTTACTACTATTGTCATATACCACGATTATCGTCATCAGTAATACGATATACAATATATATATATATTCTACTACAATTTTATTTTATTTATTCTTCACACAAATAGATGTTCAAAAATAACGAATATAGTGTTAACGCTGGTGATGCAAATGGTTTTCCACCAGCATATTCGCGTCATCAACATGCATGTCTGACACTAAATATGACGGATCGTCTAAGATTAATTCAATTTCCAACACCAATTATTGATATTATTCGTCAAGCAATTCTTAGTAGTTGGCGTCATGGTATACAAAAAGAAAAAAACTATGCTGGTGCATATGAATTCAAACTCAGAGGTACTCCTTGGTTTGGACAAGGAGTAGAAGCAGTACAATCTCGATTTATGATGTATGTTTTATCTTTAATTTTCTTAATCTTTATAAAAAATATTTTGTACATAGGATGTCAGTTCTTTCAGCTTTGCATCATCAAGGATGGTATTTATTGATGTCAACTGATATTTCAAAAAAACAAGCAGATAAAGATTCATTAATTTTTCAACTTGGTACTCCTCCACCACCAACATCATTTTTTTCTGTGTCATTTAATGAATTAGATAAATTACGTTTAATTGGTGCTCCACCTGAACTTATACCAGCAGTTCAACAAATTCTTGGTACAGGTGCAATTCAACGCGAAGAATGGGTTTATTCTCAAACAGCTTACCAATTTAAATTGTATGTAATATATCATTTTCCAAAGCTTTGTATAAGTAGTTTATATAATTTTTTTTATATTCAGACATGGTTATCCATGGGCAGGTAATGGTGAAGAAGCTGTTACTAGTCGAATAAAACTGCTTAATTTACTCGATTGTTTTACATCTTATGGTTGGCAATTACATGCAAGTGTTGATATGAGTATAGGTCATGATGGCAGTGAAACAGATACTTGGTTTTTTCGAAGAGTTCAACAATAACAATTGCTGTCGATTTCTTTATTTTTCTAATAATTTTGTCAATAAATATCAATTGCTAACTTTGTCATATATATAATTCATGATAAGTTTATTTGAATTATAAATAGTTTTCTCGAATATATATAAACATTTAAAATTATTATAATCCCTCAAAATACAACTATGCAACGAGATTTAGAATAATAATAAAATATTTAATTCGATTAATCTACTAGATAGATGAGATCGATTATTTAAAATGAATGTCTATATCAAACTTTACTTTTCCTAAGTGGAATAATGCAAATATAATTAACAAGAAGTTTTTTACTATAAAGATCAAATACTTCATTTCAACGTAAACCACTTGTGATAAGTGCATTTTCATTGACATTCTGTGATTTTTATTATATCAGAACAATACTTTTATATTTAAGCTTAGCTCATTTCGTCTTTTATTGATTTATTTATACAAACAGCTAGATTAGAAATAAATTATTCTTTTAAAAATTTTTACTAAAAATAATAGAAGAACTGAACATGGATGAAAGACTAACATTTATTGATTGCGACTAAGACGGAACAGATCAAAGTTTCTTCAAAACACTGTTATTGTTTGTTATGATTTACGTTTTTTTTGCTAATAAACAAGAAAAAGAATATGAAATAATCTTTTAATAATATTTTTAGTTTATACCTTTTTCTCCTCGATTAGATCAAGAAGAAAGACGTCGTTTTTTATTTAGGTTCCTCTGTTCCTTGATACTGAATTCATGCGAACAATTAGGACATGTAATATTATCTAAACTGAAATTAATAGACTAACATTTATTCATAAAAAAATCCATACCTGAACCTTTTGACTTTTCTTCTAAAACACAAATTATAAAACGATATGTATAAACGACAAGAAAAATTATTTATTCTTACTTTCGACAATTTCATTTGATGTAACAGTTGTCTTTGTATATCGAATAAATCGATCATTTTCATCCGTATATCCAAGTGAAAATGCAATTCTTGCTTGAGAGAGTTCATACATATATTGGAGTTCAGCAGTTGTTTTACAGTTCGGCATCTTATCTAAATATATGACATCAACATATTATATTTTATCATTCAATAAGAATTACCTAAATTTGTATCACTATCAAAGAATTGTAGTGATTTTATATCTTTTAAATCCCTCTGTAGGGTTTTAACTATGACTAATTTAAGTCTAAAGTTCAATATATCATAAATATTTTGTATTTAAATACCAGAACAGCTTACAGTATTTCACCATCTTTAATATGTTCCGTAGTTAAAGGAATGAAAAATGGATTTTCATCCGACACATTAACATCTTCATTAGATAACTGAAATTTATTCACATGCAAATAATGTTGATTGATTCGAGGCACTGTTATGAGAGCTACTTCAAGAAAATGATTATCAAGATTTTCAGGAATTCGATAGCCAGCTGCAAACTACAATTGTATTAATAAAAATATTTTAGTTTTGTAGTATATACATTTGAACATACTTTAATAGTAATATTCTGTTCACCATCTACCGTATGAACATAACGTGGTGGTTGAGGCTTACCAGCATTTTTTCCACCAACAGGGAAATAATCTGTTTTATATCGAATATCACATGGTGATTCAAAGTCTTTCAATAAAATGAGTTGTTGATCGAAAAGACTTGTAGCTATATGATAATATTCATTTAGAAAAAAAATAAATAAATATTAGAATAACTAAGAAAGATTTACAAGAACATCGTCCATACCTTGATCTGCTGTTGTTACCTTCGTATTACCATAACTAGTTGCTCCTTCTTGGTTGCTAACATTACCGATATAACTATCAACAATAGCTGCATCAATAGAACTGTGATTAGCACTTGCTAAAAAAGGCTTCCTAGAAATAAAATATCAAATAGTCATTGAAAAGAATCTTCTGATATTAAATATTATATTTACTCGACGGCAGCTGTTCCTATGTTATTTGACATATTTAAAATTTTATTAAATTTTTAGATAGCAATCTACAAATGACAAAATCGTATTAATCAATAGAATGTACTTTTTCATGTGATTGTTATCAGTAAGGGAAGTGATGAAAAAACATGTTATGCTCGACGAAAAAGAAAAAATGGGAAGACTTGAAACATCAAAACGAATGTATAAAAATAAATGTTGTTGATGTGCCCACGTTTTTTTTTTCTTTTTTTTCACCTTCATGACGATGACTGACGCAATACCTCCATGGTTTATCTTGTTTTTTGCTTATTTAGTTTTTTTTATGTCATCATGTCTCCTTTTGTTTTGAGACTTTGGTTGTTAATGTACAGAAGAACTTATTGTTATTTAGTTGTTCGAAGAAGTAAAAGACGAATTATATTAATGGTTGATTGTTTCTCTTTTTTTCTTGTTTTTGTTTGCTTTCCTTTTTTTTCTCTTGTCATCATTCTTACTATCAGCTGTTAACACATTGTTGAGTCATTTCAATTCCATTGAGAACGAAAGAACACAAAACATAATTTATGAATCATAATGATTTTTCTATAGTCTTGTTATTAATGCTGATTTACTCATTTATATCATTCATTATCTTTAATTTTGGATATGTTCGTATGATAAATAACATATATATATATAATCTTTTATCTATAACACATCTTGCTCAAAGAAATTCTGTTATCATCCAAATGCAGTGATACATAAATGACTGTTATAAAATAAATTAACTAATATTGCAAGTCTGATAATAAATCAAATTATAAATATATTAATATAATTATTTCAAGTCTAAGAGTTTTGTTTCTATGTTTTTTTCTGTATTTAATGATCTCTTGCTCATTCTGTGTCTAGGATTTATATGCCTATTGATCTACAAAAACATGGATCGTAAACAAGAATTGTTCGTCTGTCTGCCCGTTGGTATAATCCTAAATATAAGAGATCTGATCTTTACATAGTGTCAGAGAATGGACAATGGATGTAGTGAAGAACGTAGGAGAGCAAAATTGACCTCTGTACAACCTTTCGACCACCAGTATAAGTATATGCATGCATACACACTCACGACAGAAAGAGAGAGAGAGACACACACACACACACACACATACACACACAGACAGACAAGCAGAAAGAAGATATGAAGAAAGTATATACACACGTACATACAGGCGCATGCACAGCAGGAGAGCTGCAGAGAACAGACAGTATAGAATGCATAGATGAACGAGCGGACGAACAAATGGCTCGGCCACGAACTTTCTCTTTTTTCTGGCCGTGTATGTTTTACATACATTGATACTCTGATAGCATGAGAGAGTACGAGACGAAGAGAGAGAGAGAGCCGTTAAAGAGAAAGTGATCGACGCAGAATCCCTTAACGGCAGCACTCTGCACATTACTAAAACACAAATTCTCTCTCTTCGCTTTTTCTTACTCCATGCTCGACGATGGCGTCCAGAAGATTCTGTTCGTCGTCGACGATGGCGTTGAGAGTTCTCCTTTTCTCCTCTTCATCACCACCCTCAACACCAAGTCTCGCATAAACACAGGCATACACATTTACATACACAACAATCATAGAGGTATAGAAGAACACGAAAGAGATCCTGCGTGCTTCGGATTTTTCGACACTTTAGCAGGCGTTATATTGCGAAGAAACCGAGAGATGAACTTTACATGTAGGATGCGTGCGTGCATGCGCTTATGTTACATGATCTGGAAAGAAGAGAGAGAGAGAGAGAGGGGGAGAGAAGGACGAGATATAAAGTAGGTTTTCGGGATGACAACGATAGTAAAAAGAGCGCAAAAAAAAAAGAAAACGATTTTAGGGGTGTCCTTCTTTTTTTTTCTTTTATCTATAACGCACGTACCGGGTTTGGCAAGTAAGACGTAGAAAGCCAGAAGAAAGAGAACGACAAGGACAGAAATAGGGCGTTGGCTCACAAGCTTTCGTTCGAGACGTATATACGCGTGAAGGTTCTTCATTTTTTTTTGACGCGTCATCGTTCCTCATGTGGTTGTTAGATAGTATCAATGGGTAAAACCCTCGCTGTTTGAATTATATTTATATATATATATATATATATATTAAAATATAAATATATAGGTACGCTAATCCTTAGATCGAGTGTTAATCAGTATAACTATTGTAAATTCCTCTATATTTTATTTAAAAACATCTAATCTTTTATGTAATTAAAATGTTTTTGTTTCGGATATAAAAACAATTTTTTATTATTCATAATTTATCAGTACGTAAATATATTTAATTTATCTATAATACGAATTGACTGGATGGGTAGAATAGAGCGAATAAGAAAAAAAAAACGTATCTATACTGTCGTTCTTTATGACTGCCTTTGCGTAGTACAGAATAGTAAGAAAAAAAACACGACAGAATTGTTTGAATGTACTTTTGAGAAACAGGGTGTATGAATAACGAAAGAAAAGTTTTCTGCGACTGTATTATGTTCTATTCTTGTACACATCAATGACAAGCATGCCTTTTCTTTTCTTTTCTTTCGAATATTATTCAATGAAAGGTAGTCTTATAAAAGTACATATATATTTATATATATATGTATACGTATATATAGATGTATATGGACGATGTCCATTTTTTTCATATCCTTCATCATATTCTTGCCCTTTTCTTCATTCTGAAATTCTTCTTCTTTTTTTTTTCTTCTCAAACAGCCATAAATAGGGCAGATGTTGTTGGCGTCGACAGAGAGATTTGAGTCAGTGACGAGCGGGCGGACGAAAGGAAAAAGAGGAGAAAAGTCGTCGCTCGCCATCATCACTCATAGGTAGTAGTCCGCCAGGAAGAAAGATTGTATGTACAAACATACATGCATACACGTATATGCATAGCATATGCACAAAAACACATAAATCGTCCGTTCAGTAGCCGTCCAGCAACGTTTTCTCCGTTTTTCTCTCTCTTATACGTCTTCCTTCCTTCCTTTCCTTCAAAATTCAGACGGACACACATAAACCTCTTTTCTCTGTACATAGATCCATTGACACCAGAACGTCGAATCGTGTATTTTGTAGGCAACATTCGCCTATTTCTCTCTTTCTTATTCTTCTTCTCTCTTTTCCTTCTCATCGAACGACGACGAAGAACCGGCAAACTCCATATATTAGTTCACATTCTTATGGTGAACTGCTACTGACCGCATACACATAAGTATAAACATAAGTACACACAATGGACTCGGTAGTAGTGTCTACGGTAAAATATTTGGTTTTTATAATATTTTTTATCTATAAAAATCGTTCTTTAGAAATCACATGTATTACAATGGGATGCCGATGCTGTTGTTGCTTGGCTTCATGAATCAAATTTTGGTGCATTTGAAAAAGTTTTTCGAGGTAAACAAACACAACACACAAAATATTTATGTTATTTTTATTATTTCCCGAAAAGAACAAAAAAAAAGGGCGTTTTCTCATTACTTATCATACATTGATTATGATCAGAACAAAACATTTACCTTTATCATACTCATACATCATCAATAACATTTTTTTATTTTTATTTTTTATTTGTTTAGATAATGAAATCGATGGTCCAACCCTTCTTAAACTTAGTGAATCAATGGTTGTTCGTCTTTTTCCAACTATAAAACTTGAAGTACAATTTCTTGATTTATTACAATCACTTAAACAACGAAATATTAGTGATAATAATTCAAAAAAAACATTAGCTTCATCATCTAATATAACAAATGGTCATAATGGAAATCGACATTCAGCAGCACATCAAATTGCTGCTCATGTTATTGCATCAACATCATTTGATAATGGTATAGATCATTCATCGAATTCTAATTCACCAATACCATCAGCTACAAATGGTCATCATCATCCTCGTGTATCTTATTCAGAACGTTCACAAATTCCACAACGTCTTACACCAAAAGGAGGTCTACCATTAAAAACACTTAAACGTGAACCAAAATATTTTCCAAATGCATCTTTAAAGTAAATTATTAATAATTTCATAATAAAAATTATCTTATTTATTCATTTATTTATTTAAGTGCTTCACAAAATGGCGATACAAATGAAAATGATTCTAAACATACATTTCCTCATGTATATAAATTACCACAATTTCCCGATACACTCCGTTTAGCACTTGCTTCACAAGATGCAAGTGCATTTAAACTCCGTACATATTATCGAAATCTCTTAATCTCATCTATATACGATGATCTTACACGTTCATATAATCTTTGGTATAGATAATCAATTATGTTAGTTTTAGACAAAGAAATTTCTAATCAATATTCTCTTTTTCAGGTATCCAAATGCTAGACAATATAAAACTGTAGCATCAGCACTTGTTAAATCTTATCCATTTCTTGAATCATCAACCGATGGTGGTGAAGTAAGTTTAAATCATAAAAAATATTTCAAATAATATAAATTATGATTTGTTGTTTTTTTCTAGGGTGCATGGATTGATGGTATAAAAGGTAAATTTAAACGTGGACGACGTACAGCTACATCTCATTTTGATGCATCACAATCAATGACTGGTGAAAATGGTTATGATCGTATGTCCGGTGATGATGAATTAGGTGAAGAAAAATTAGCTCAAACATCAAATGGACAAAAACGTTCACGACATGAATTTGAAGTTGATTCCGATGATGGTCAATATGAATCAGGTGAAATGCCAACAAATGGAAAAGATAATGTAAATAATATATTTATTAAAACTAAAATTTTATTTATTTATTTTTTCTTCTATATAGGATCAAACAAGTGATAATAATGATGAAATGGATGAAGAAGAAACACATCGTTTACGTAGTTGTATAACAGCAATGCAAGAAACATTAGCAGCAACAGATGATCCTGATATATCCCTTATATCTGATTATTTTAAAGAAACATTTGAAATACGACGAAATTTTGTTAAAACACATAATACAACTGAAATTCTTACCGAATATCCAGCTTTACAATTACATTCATG